ATCTTTAATATCTCAGAAAGCAAAGCAGCACTAACGAAAATTTTAACGGCACAAACCAGCACTAACGGAGCACTAACCATTCAGACTAGTTGCTTTAATTTTGGAAGTGGGTGGGGTGTCAGCTTCACTCAGCTCTCCCACAGTTGTCAGTTTGGCAGCCAATTGATTTTGGGCACAACACCGACCCACGTTTCCCGGTGGTCAGTGGTGACGCGTAATAAATGCAACTTATATGGCAAAGCGACTTGTTTGTTTTTTCCACTTTATTAGACATATTTGGACTGATGCGACTTATACAGTGGTGTGACATGTACGGCGGAAAGTCCAGTAATTAATGAGTTCCATGTGATGTGTTAAACTGCTTGTTCCTTCTGGCTCAGGCGACAGACACAGAAGCAGATCGGTTGTCGGCCTTCTTCAGCAGGAACTCTTATATAAGCGGGAAATATGCAGACGGGGATTCCTTCTCCAAACTCAATTCGCACATCCTGTCTCTGCCGGGGGCAAGCGGGGCAAATCGTCTCTTCTACCTGGCACTGCCCCCGACGGTCTACCACGATGTGACCAAGAACATCAAGCACCACTGCATGAGCACAAAGTCAGTACAAACTTCACTGTCATCTTTCTGTGTTGTTTCCTGAAGCATTTTAAACACGCTGCCCGTCTGAGCAGGCAACACAAGCATTTCAAGATGCTCTGATGCTACTCCCTCTGGACGGACATGTGCTGAGACAACCCCCCCAAAGCTTTATATTAAATTGAACCATTCTCAAAAGTACTTTTGTTAAAACAAGATAATAGATTTTTACACACTAGATCTTTGATCACAGTATATTTTACATTGTGAGTAAAATAAACCATGTTCAGAACGATAAGTGGAACACCCTTAATTAATACCTGCTACCATGAAAAGCAGACAATCATGTAATTACCTCTATATGTCTGTTTCTGTTAGCAAAATATCATGAACCACTGGGTCGATTTTAATGAAATTCTGAAGCTAACCACTGGATGTGCATCTGCAGCTGGTTAACGTTTTGAATCAATACGATTCAAGATGGACGCCACAGATAATCGACCTTAGCCAAAACAAACAAACAAACAAAAACTATGAAGGGTCACCTTGAAAATGACTTTTTCTTCGTGGAGTTTGTGTTTGGAGTCTCCAGCTCCAGAGTTTAAATTAAAATGAATGAACATCTTTTGTCTGTTGCCTCGTACAAAAATAAACTAAAATGAGGAGTCTAAATATTTAAAGGTTATATCTTGAAAGTTGTTTGAACTTTCTCTTTTCTTAAACGTTTGAAGCGCTGAGTGACGGCGTCGATATGAATGTAATGACCGTGTTGAGGTGAAACGCTCCATCTGTTCAGGGGTTGGACCAGGGTGATTGTGGAGAAGCCGTTCGGTCGAGATCTTCAGAGTTCGGAGGAGCTGTCCTCTCACCTGTCGTCCCTCTTCAGTGAGGATCAGATCTACCGCATTGATCACTATCTGGGCAAAGAGATGGTGCAGAACCTCATGGTGTTAAGGTCAGAGAACCATCTTCACGAAAGGCTGTGTTAGATTCTGTTTATTGTTTGGCACTTTGTAGAAAATGGGATCAAATCTTGCAGTTCATCAGAGTTAGCTTTTCTCTTTAACGCCAGCTTCTGAATAAAATTAAGCATTACCAACATGTTTGTTTTTTTCATATGTTCTTTCTCTCCTGTGGAAGGAGAGCTCTTTGTGCTTCGACTTTCCTGCTGTAACAAACTAGTTTAAGACAAATACAACTGTGAAGTTACATTTTCAGCTGGGCTTGTTGGACTAGAGAAGCTCCTGTGGATATGCTACAAAACAAATTGAATTTGGCTCCTGCTCAAGAATTAAACAGAATCTAAATGTTTACGCATGCTGTCATGAACAGCTGTCTCGTCGCCCTGTCTTTAGCTGAGCACAGGAATAATTGTGCAACGTTCACTGCAGGTTCGGAAACCGCATCTTTGGTCCAATCTGGAACAGAGACAGTGTGGCCTGTGTTGTTCTCACCTTTAAAGAACCATTCGGGACTCAGGGACGAGGAGGATACTTTGATGATTTTGGCATCATACGGTGAGGAACACCCCCCCCCCCCCCCCCCACACACACACACACACACACACAAATACTGTGCATTTGTTTTTGGTGTTTATACTTAAAGCCTAATGATTTCAGATTAAATTATTTTAATGGGTAATGGGTAGATCCATCTGAGAAAAACATTTGTTTTCTTGTTGAATATTAAATATAAACTAGGGATATTGCATTTCCTGGGAAAATGCAGTGTGAATGCTTGTTGCAGTAGAACTTGCTGAAAAACAGCTGAAAATAGCTTAAAAAACATGCTGAAATGTAGCTGAAATGGAAGAACAAGCCTAAATTAGCAGAAGAAAACAGAAAGAACACATATTTGCTGAATTAGGTTTAAATAAGCAGAAATGAGCACATAAGTTAGGAAATTAGCTTAGAAAAAGCTGACATTAGTAAAAAATAGTTGAAAAGTACTGTATGTAGCTGAAAAGACAGAAGCTTAAACTACCAGCACAATGAACTGAAATGAGCTAAAAGTGTGGAATTAGCTGAAAAACCTAAAATTAGCATCAAAGCTAAATAGTAGCTGAAAGAGCAGAAAAAGCTGAAACTACCAGGAAAAAAAGCTAAAAGTAGCATAACGAGCTGAAATTAGCATAAAGACGTTAATTTGGCTGAAAGTAGCAGAAATTACAACGGAAAGCTTGAATTGATCTGAAAACAGCTAAAATTAGCTAAAAATGCTAAAAACCTAGCTGAAAAGTTAGAACAAGCTTAAATTAACAGAAGAAATCAGAAATAACACACATTTGCCTAATTATGCTGAAAGAAGCAGCAATGAGCACAAAATAGTGGAAATTATCTTGAGGAATAAACCATGTTTAAGTCGCTTTGGCATATAAGTTTCCAGCTGAAAAGTAGCTATAAAAGTATAAAGAAGTCTAAATTACCAGATGGAAGTGGAGAGAGCACATTTTTGCTGAATTAGGCTGAAAAAAAGTTGAAATGAGTGCAAATAATGTGGAATTAGCTGAAAACGCTAAAATTAACATAAAAACAGGTAAATAGTGGCTGAAATAGCATAAACAAAAGCTGAAACTTGCAGAAATAAGCTGAAATGAGCACAACAAGCTGAAATTAGCAGAAAAGAAGTTAGAAGAAACACAAACATGTTGTAGTTAGCAGAAAGAATCTGGAAGGATCAAAAAACAGCTGAAATTAGTTGAAAGTAGCTGAAAAAAAGTTTAAATTTGCACAAGGAAGCTGAAAGAAGCTGAACCAGAACAATTGTGAAAGGAGCAGTAAAAGATTGTAAACAGATCTAAAGACTTGAAGGATGTAAAATGAGCTCAATTTATTTCCTATGAGGAAAAAAAAAAAAGACAGAAAAGGCTAAATATTTCAAAAAGCCAAAGTTGCACCAATACCAAAAGTCACAGCAGGATTGTCCTGAAAGAGCTGAACGTTTTGATAAATGGTTTTAAATGATGAATAGCACAAAAATTGTGGACCGAGAAAGATGCTGAAGAATGTACAGAAGAAAAATGCATCACAATAGTGTGAACATTCACACAACGAGCAGAAGTTGAACTCCACTTACCGCCCCCTTTTCTAGTAAATATGAGGCCTATTAATTTCCCTGAACTAAACAACCTTCTGTGCGTTCCTGAAAGTAATAAATTAGGGAACAGAACATTCAAGAGCTTTATAAACAGCACATCGGCGCCAACAAATGATCAGTCCCAGTTATACCTGATCACATCTCCATCAGCGTCCTGCATGTCTTTTGTATGACCACCTGTTCCTTTTGTCACCGTCAGAGATGTCATGCAGAACCACTTGCTCCAGATGCTCTGTTTGGTTGCCATGGAGAAACCAGCCTCCACCAGCTCTGACGATGTCAGGGATGAAAAGGTACCAACAGAACTGTTTATAATGCCTTTGAAACATGGCTGGTATGGAGAAAGTTGTTACAAAAGGCTTTCCTTCTTGTAGGTGAAGGTGTTGAAGTGCATTGCTCCAGTGACGATGTCAGATGTGGTGCTGGGTCAGTATGTAGGTGATCCAGAGGGGGAGGGAGAAGCCCAACAGGGTTACCTTGATGATCCCACGGTACCTAAAGGATCAAATCAGGCCACCTTTGCCACAGCTGTGCTCTATGTCCACAATGAACGCTGGGATGGTAAAAAAAAGAGAAAATATCTATTAAAATTTTAACTTATTCTTTGAAGTCTGTCTTGATGTCTTGAAAATGTCCCTCCTCAGGCGTTCCCTTCATCCTGCGCTGTGGAAAAGCTCTGAATGAGAGGAAAGCCGAGGTGCGGCTGCAGTTCACAGATGTCCCAGGAGACATTTTTGAAAACAAGTGTCAAAGGAATGAGCTGGTTGTTCGTGTTCAGCCCAACGAGGCCATCTACGCCAAGATGATGAGCAAGAAGCCCGGAGTGTACTTCCACCCAGAGGAGACCGAGCTGGACCTCACCTACAAGAGCCGATACAAGGCAGGCTCAAGAAAATTTATTTATCCATGTCTTACTCATTAGTTGCATACTTTTCCCCAGAACAAAACTAATTGATGCTAATTTATTTGTAGCTGCAGCTGAAGTTCATATTTTCATACAAAGTTTCTCCTCAGTGTGCTCCTTTCAGATTCGTTCTACTAACTACAACATTTTTGTGCTTCTTCTAACATATTTCTGCTAATTTCAGCGGTTATGCTCCTTTTCATCTTATTTCTGCAAGTTTCTGCTTTTCCAGCTACTATTTAGCTGTTTTTATGCTAATTGTAGCTTTTTTTTGGCTAATTCCACATTTTTTTGCACTCACTTCAAGTTTTTCCTTCCTAATTCAGCAAAAACGCTCTCTCTCCACTTTCTTCTGGTAATTGAAGCTTTTTTTCTGAAAATGTTAGCTACATGTTAGCAATTTTTTGCTAATTTCAGCTTTTTTCAGACAATATCCACTTTTTAGTGCTCATTTTGCTTCTTTCAGTCTAATTGGGCAAATGTGTTCTTTCTGCTTTCTTTTGCTAACTTAAGCCAGTTCTACCTTTTCAACTACCATACTTTTTTTTTTGTATTTTAGCATTTTTTCAGCTAATTTCAGCTGTTTTCAGATAAATTCAAGTTTTTTGTGGTAATTTCTGCTACTTTCAACCTAATTACATTCTTTATGCTAATGTCAGCTCCTTTTAGTGTTTTTCTCCTATTTCAGATGCTGGTACTTTTTAGCTGTTTTGTGCTAAATTTAGCTTTTTCAAGTAATTCCACTTTTTTTTTTAGCTTATTTCAGCTCCTTCCACTTCCTTCTGGTAGTTTAAGCTTCCTTCTGCCTTTTCAGCTACTGTCGGCTATTTTTTTTGTGTGTGTGTGCTAATTTCAGCTTTTTTAGCTAATTTCCCAATTTTTGTGATAATTTCTGCTTATTTAAATCTAATTTAGCAAAAATGTGTTCTTTCTGCTTTCTTTGCTAATTTCAGCTAGATTTCAGCATGTTTTAGCTAATTTCAGCTGTTTTTCAGCAAGTTATTCGGCAATAAGCACTGCATTTTCACAGGAAATGCAATTTATCTAGTTTTATAGTAGTTTGAGCTGACTAACATGCAAATACATTTTTTATAGATTAACTGTGGAGAAATAGACAAATTTCTTGTCACTCTTCTCGTTCTCAGGACGTGAAGCTTCCTGATGCTTATGAGCGTCTCATCCTGGATGTCTTCTGTGGGAGTCAGATGCATTTTGTCCGCAGGTCTGTCTTAGTTTCTCCAACATGTCACAGTTTGTAAACCAACCTTTGGATTTAGCTTCACTAGAGGGCACCGCAGTGCAGCTTCACTCGGCCTTGGCCTAAAAGAAGTTTGACATGTTTTAGCAGAAGTGGCTTGAATTTTTTATGTCTGCAGTGATGAACTCAAGGAGGCGTGGAGGATCTTCACCCCGCTTCTTCATCAGATAGAGAAGGAGAAGCCACGACCTATTCCTTACAAATATGGAAGGTAGGGAACGTTTTTAACTTGGGCCTCGCCTGACACTATTTTTTGCAACCAAATTCTCAATTTTCTTTTCTTTCATTCTTAGTCGCGGCCCCGCAGAAGCAGACGACCTCTCTAAGAAAGTTGGATTTCGTTATGAAGGCACTTACAAATGGGTCAACCCTCATAAACTTTGAAAGGTAATAAGGGCATAGGAGGAGAGTATTAGTGAGGCATCATGGTCCAGTACTGGGGAGTCCTGGAAGAAGGTGGGGAGGGGTGGGGGTCACTGTCTGGATCCATCAGGAAGCAAAAAAAAAGAACCAGTTTAAAAACATCCATTCTCAGGTATCACAATTATTCCATTGAGCCTCCTTATCAAACATTTAAATAAGAACGAGTTCATTTTTACAGCAAAGATGTTTTTATACATTTACAAAAATAGAATTGGTCAAAATTCACTAAGGGACCAAGTTTATGTTCAAAGATTGAAAATGGAGGCTAAACGGTCTGCTGAACTGGCTCCATGTCACGGCCTGTAAGAATTAAGTTCTCTGATGGTGAACAGAACAAAGAGCAGAGCATCAATCGAACAAGCAGCTGAGTCACGTCAAGGCAAACCAAAGATGGTTATCCAACAAACAGTCCCTGGAGTCCTTCAGCTGTCACTATTATGGTCATTATGTTATGCTTTCACTAACATATGAGATTTTTATTTATTTTTCCTTCACCGGACCAAGGATGATAATTGCAAGACATTTCCTCTTGGAAGCATTATTCCTGCTCAAGTCTTAAGAGTCCTCCTGGGCCAGAAAAGAAGCTGCAGCTTTATTAGCCTCTCCCCTGCTTTATTCCATTTTTTGTTTACATTTTTAACTTTTAAACGTTCATATTTTAACGTATTTCCAGGCAGTAGTGTGTGCTGCGGGTCAACTGAATGCCTGGTGGCAGGCTCGACGCTGCTGTTCACAGAACATGTAAAAGGTGGCCGAGCCTCTGTCACTTCAAATAAACCAGTTTTGCTCCCGTTAATGTTTCGTGTTTTTCTGGTACTGATGTTTTAAAGCGTGATGATGGGAGGAACCTTAAACGCTGCATGGACAGTTACAGGTTTTATGAATTGTTCACACACAAATCCTGGTACTTGAGACACAGTGACCACAACATGTAACTCGTGCACTAACCAATTCTGCCACTTTGGTTGACTGGTCAACCATGGTCTAACAATGAGGGGGGGTGGGCAAAGAGTGCAGCCAGATTTGAGCAGGTACACTGTAGCATCATCTGGACTTTCTGAAATGAGAATAGGAAAGAAATCTACTCACTAGAAAACTGCAGTACTGCTCATCAGTACAGTATTGCACGTGTACTGTTCTGAAAAATTTAAGTATTTTTGAAGTATTTGGGAAATGTATTCCTTCCTACTTTGTATTTCTACACAGTATTTAACTATTTGTATTGCAGAACTGAAAGATGATCAACACAAGGTGGACAAGAATGTCTTCTGTCTCCTGAACAGGAAACTGAAATAGTAAATAGGGTTATTTATAGGGTTAGGTTATGAAAAATAAAATATTTTGTTGGATAATTTAATTATCCTGTCATCAGCTCATTAAATAAATATGCCACACAAGAAATAATATCTTAGGCCAGGTTTAATCTTATAAGATGGAGCAATGTTGAAATACAAGCATCAAGATGCTGAATGTTGCTTCGTCTCCAAGGTCTGCTCACAGAGAGAGTTAATCAAAGCTTAAACACCCGTTATCAGACGGAGGTGAGGTCAAGACAACTGCTTCACAACTCACAGTAGTTGAAGGCATCAGGTGAAATGCTGTGCTTCTGCAGGCTCCACTTCGTAAAGACAAAACAACTTTAATACGCGCACACACGGTTTATACACAGCCTGGCCAAAAATAAGTCGCCACCAAAAAAAAGGTCTCACTAATATTTTGTTGGACTGCCTGTAGTTTTGGTTACAGCATGCATTCACTGTGGCATTGTTTCAATAAGCTTCTGCAATGTCACAAGATCTGTTTCCATCCAGCGTTGCCATAATTTTTCACAAAGATCTTGCATTGATGAATAGGCACTAGGCATGATGGGTGCATCACTTCACCTGCCTCTCTTCTTACCCTGATGCACCCATCACTCTGGAACAGGGTCAATCTGGACTCATCAGACCACATGACCTTCTTCCATGGCTCCAGAGTCCAATCTTTATGCTCCCGAGCAAATTGAAGCCTTTTTTTCCCCAGTTAGCCTCACTGATTAGTGGTTTTCTTAAGGCTACACAGCTGTTCAGTCCCAATCCCTCGAGTTCCTTCACATTGTGCGTGTAGAAATGCTCATACTTTCTCTAAACATAGCCCTGAGTGCTACTGTTGTTTTTCTTCTATTTGATTTCACCAAACGTTTAAGTGATCGCCGATCACCATTATTTAGGATTTTTTTTCCCGGCCACATTTCTTCCTGGAAGACGATGGGTCCCCACTATCTTTCCATTTTTTAATAATGCGTTGGACAGTTCTTAACCCAATTTTAGTGGTTTCTGAAATCTCCTTAGATGTTTTCTCTGCTTGATGCCAATGATTTGACTCTTCTCAAACAGACTGACATCTTTTCCACGACCACACGATGCGTCTTTCAACATGGTTGTTTAAAAAATGAGAAGGTACTCATTGCACCAGTTGGGGTTCAATAACTTGTTGCAGCTGAAAGATAATCGCCCATGTAGTAATTATCCAATATGAGGCTCGTACCTATTTGCTTAGTTAAATCCAGGTGACTTTTTTTGGGCCAGGCAGTGTATAACATTTGACATAAGTGAAACATCCATGACCTTTACATCCATCATATGCTAGTGTATTTGTGTTCCAAGTATAAAAACAATATTCTAAAACATTTTACAACACACTGATGTATGTACTCTCTGTAGTGTAATACTGAAGAAAAAAAAATCCTAAGTCATTATGATGATTGGAGAAGTGTTTTCTTTCCAGTCATCAGTCAGCAGTGTTCAACTGCTTTTTATGATGGTTTGTGTTGGTCATCAGAACAAAATACCATTTTGAGAATAACATTGTTTTGAATGTAAAGTTTCATTTTGAAGAAGTGAGGGGTTTTGTCCATTGTGCTTGATTTTGATTTGTGTGTAGAGTTCTGTGTGTGAGGCATGCTTTTAGAAAATGTGTGTCAACAAATGGAAAACTGTAAAATGCCTCTAACAAAACAATGAAAGGACAACTGCAGACATGACACCAGAATTAATTTATTCAAATGGAAATACTTCCCGTTCATTGGCACCAGGTATAAACTTTAGGCAGGATCACAGTAATAAAAGGCGTAGTGAACGGTGATGGCCATGAGTTTGGCCATCGTGGTTCTAAAAACAGTGAGATCCTCAGCTTTTCACTGAAGTGACATTTTAAATCTTTGCAACTAAACAGAAGTTTACTTGTCTTAACTGAATACTTAAATTTTATCTTCAGTTCAAAAACATTGAGATAAGTTTTGTTTGAAAATCTGCCGCTCGCCCTCATATGGCATACCGAGTGGAAAACTTAAGACAAACTCAACCAGAACAATTCAGTAGTTGGTTTGTTTAAAATAAATTAAAAAAAAAAAAAAAAAAAAGGCCAACGATGCATTATAAGGCACATTAACTTTGTAAGTTAAAAACAATACCTTCATGTACATTACATAAGGAAATGTTAATGAATTATAATTAATGAATTATTTACAACATCTAAAAAGACAAATTGAGGTATATTATTATTCACTGGACGCAAACATTAATGCTTGAAGAAAATCTGTAGTAAAGGCTGGTAAGAACTGAGTCTTTAAACACTGAACTGTTTCAGACTCTGTTATAAAGTGAGAACTAATAAATTATTGTTGCAACTACACAGACACGTGCATTCTGATTACATCATGCTCTGAAAAAAGCTTAACTGATCACAATGATGAGAACAAGTTATATTCAGAATATTTCTTAGTTATATACAGAGTATTCAAGTTTCAGTGGCGATTGGAGGAGAAGAAGAAAAATCTGAAAATGAGATGTCTGAGCTAGTTTTTGTAGTCTTGTCACCGATTCTGTGGCTGGAGTTGATAAGTTGCATCCTAGCTGTTGAAGGGCCGTCCTCCAAGAAGCTGACTGGTGAAGTGGTCATGTTCCCGTCAGGAAGGCGCTCCTGTCAGTTTTACCTGCTTACATGTGCTCTGGGTGGTTCTGCAAGCAGCTGATGAACTCCGAGACCGGATGGCCCTGGAAGCAGATCTGGTAGACGGCGTTGAACAGAGGGAACCTGCAGCGGGACGAGGCGTTGATGAGAAAACCCACGTCTCCTCGAGACTCAGCGGGTCGGCGAGTTGCTCAAACTTACTTGTCAACCAGGTTTTTGTGTTTAAGGATGAGATAAACCTCAGCTGCCGTCGCTGGTCCCTGCAGCTTCTGTCCGTTCAGCATCTCTCTCTCCAGATCCTCAATAGACTGAGTGACAGAACATGAAACGAGGTAAATATCCAAGAAAATAAACCAATAATAGTTTCAGATAATATTTAGCATGTCTCAAGGACCAGATTTAGAAAACCAAGCCCATCTCTATCAGTTTGAGTTGTTTGCATTTATTTGTAGAGACACTACATCAGGAGGTATTATAGAAGTTCAACAATTCTGTTACTTTATAAACCAGGGCTATTCAACTGGTGGCCCGGGGGCCAAACCAGGCCCACAGATGAACTCAGTTCAGCCCACCAGTGGGTTCAATTTAAATAAAATTTGATTTTAAAACCATAAAAGAAACTTACTTAATGACTAACTGCTGGATGTGCTGCCCCTGAGCTCTTGGCGCTGTAGCCCCCTGAGCAATTTAGCTGAATAGTCCTATGAACTCTTGGGTCAACTTATTCTGAACAAGGAAACTGAGTTTTCATTTCTAGAAGACACAGTTCTGAATATAAACCTCAATGGAGCTCCGATACACCAATTCACCATGAACTGCAGTAGAAAAATAGATCTGGTCTATACATGAATATAAAGTATGCCAATGGGCGGCAGAGCAGCACAGTTGGTAGAGCTGCTGCCTCTCAGCGAGCAGGTCGCCCCGGTTCAAATCCCGGTCCAGAGACCTTTCTGGGTGGAGTTTGCATGTTCTCTCCGTGCATGCGTGGGTTTTCTCCAAGTACTCCAGTTTCCTTCCACAGACCAAAAACATGCATGTTACACTGATTGGTAACTCTAAATTGTTCCTAAATGTGAACAAGAGAGTGTGAATGGTTGTTTGTCTCGTTTGTCTCCATGTGTCCCTGTGATGGACTGGAGACCTGTCCAGGGTGTCCCCCACATCTCACACAGTGACTAATGGACATGGGCACCAGTGACCCCCACGACCCAGAATGGAAGAAGCAGGTAAAGATAATGGATGGATGAAATACACAGACACAGGGAAGCAGTGCAGTTGGAACCACGTCTCAGCTCAACTAAGCTCTCAGCATTGAGTTATGTAGCCTGATCTCAAATGTGGAAAAGTCTAACAAGTCAAACAAGTCTGAAGTTTAAATAGGCTCATTTATTTCCAACATCCTTCTACCAGTATACCCACTGTCCATCCTCTGGTCATGTCCAAACCATCTCAGTCTGGTCTCTCCAACTTTATCTCCCAGTTGTTCAACCTGTGCTGTACCTCTGATGATCTCATTCCTAATCTTATCCATCCTCATCACTCCTAATGTGAACCTCAACATCTTCATTTCTGCCACTTCCAGTTCTGTCTCCTGTCTTTTTGTCCATGTCTCTGTCTCCAGGCCATACAACATAGCTGGTCTCACCACGGTCTAAACTTTTGCTGCCACCATTTTGTCACAAATCTTTTCTCCATCCTGCCTGGACTCTTTACCACACTCCTGGTTTTCCTGGACAGTCAAGTATATTAACTGTTTGAACAATGTGATAAAACTCTTAGCTGCTGCATTTGGATGTGTTCAGACTTGGGCATGTCACAATAACAAATTTTGCTGAGCAATTAATTGTCTCAGAAATTATTGCGCTAAAAGATAATATCGTTTGAAATTTGACAATTACTAATTATTATTGTCAACTTGAAGAAATGTTGGTTACTTTTTGCGTGTAGTACCTTTTTTGACCACTGGATGGCAGTATAAGACTGAACTGAAGGATGGATAGTGAGGGAGCAAGCAGCGTGTCTAAGAAAAATGGGAGGCCCCTTGATGCGACATGGGCTGTCTCTCTTTCCAGTTTTTCGGTTCGCAAAATGGCGTACACTTGGTGTGACTTGAGCTCTTTAGCATAGCATTTTTTCACATAAAGCTTTTAATAAAATTTAAAAAAAAGTCAGTAAACAAGTTCTCAGCTTCTTTTTGCAGAGAAAAACAACTTAGACAAAGGCATGGGTTTCAACCGTGAATTTTGGAGCTTTGACAAGAGTTTTTTTCCGAGGTCGGCCTGTTAGCTTAGCTTGTAGCTTAGCTTCTCAGCTTAGCTGCTTTTAACGATCCAAAAACATGATTTTAGATGGTAAAAACAGATTTTAAAGAGAAGAGAGAAAGGGTCAGTGAAGAGCAAAGGAGTTGAGCCTTTTGTCTTCAGTAGAAAGAGAGAGACGAAGAAACGACAAAGCCAATAAATGAAAATGAGGTTGATCATTTTCATTTATCATGCGATTAATTGATTTGTTTATTGCGACAGGCCTATTCAGACTACAGGAGACAGAATGGGAGTTACTGGTTTTTATGAGTGAATCAGATGAAAAACAGTACCATTTAAACAAAATAACATGAAATGATCCAAGTTGGGAAAATCCTCTCCTAATGTTAACATTTATGAAGTAATTCTTCATTTTGTTAGTCGGACTAATTAAAAATAAACTTTTCTATCCAATAGTGAATTTGCCTGTGAGCAGGTTTAGTTCATAAAGTTTGTTACTGAGGTGATCGGCTCCACTTCTCTTTCTGGAACAGAAAACTTGCCCTTGAACTCTGAGTTTTCACTGAACTTGTTTAGTGAAATACCCTTCAGGCTCTGAACAGTCCTGGCTTGCAGTTGTTGGAAACAAAAACCATTGTGCAACATTTGGATTTCCATCTTTTGTTTTCCTTATGTGACCAACTACAACAAGCTAAAAGGAAGCTACAACTACAGAGGTCTACGTGTGCATACTTAAATATATTATAGACCCAACTTATATCAGCTTGCTGTGCTTTTTCCAGTAGGCATTTGTCTCACACCTTCAAGCAGGAGATTTGTAAAGAATGCAGTGTCCTCACCTTCCCCGTCTTCACAAAAGCTTCAGCCACCCTGCGGTTGCGGCCGCCGTAGCAGGTTGTGATGAGGTCGGCCACGCCGCAGCTCTCCAGGAAGGTTGCAGAGGACACGGGGCCGCCAGTGCAGAAAATGCGTGCGAAGGCAATCATCTCCATCAGGCCCAGTCTGATCACCGCTGCCTTTGTGTTGTCCCCGAAGCCCAGACCGTCACAGAAACCTGCGCCGACCGCGACGATGTTCTGCAGGAAACGTGAGCAAGAGTCAGCAAACACTGCAGCTGGAGACACACCCGAGAGCTTTAATGTGGAAAGTTGAGAACATCCAGCTAATCCATCCCATCAATGAATGAACAAACTTCATCTCATCAAATGTGGAGCATTAATCACATCACTCTATCCCGCTGAGCTTTTCAGAGATTACAACCTCAGTCTGACTCAAATTGCGGTCTTGGCCTTTTACACACACATACGCCTGCACTTTTATTTCTCTTATAAAGACATATTTTTACACAGAGAACAGGGTGGACTTGCATGATATGCATTTCTTGTTGGTCTGCAACATAAATAACCTTTTTTTTTTTTGGTTTACAAATTGTTTTACAAAAATAATTTGTGAAGAAATGTAAAAATTCCGGGCAGCACGGTGGTGCAACTGGTAGAGCTGCTGCCTCTCAGCGAGCAGGTCCCTGGTTCAAACCCCGGTCCAGGGGCCTTTCTGGGTGGAGTTTGCATGTTCTCTCCGTGCATGCGTGGGTTTTCTCCGGGTACTCCGGTTTCCTCCCACAGTCCAAAAACATGCATGTTAGGCTGATTGGTAACTCTAAATTGTCCCTAGGTGTGAGTGAGCTCTATGTGGCCCTGTGATGGACTTGCGACCTGTCCAGGGTGTACCCCGCCCCTCGCACAGTGATTGCTGGACATGGGCACCAGCGACCCCCGTGACCCAAAATGGAATAAGCGGGTAAAGAAAATGGATGGATGGATATAAAAATTCCAATCGTAAAATATGTTTGAACGTCGTGTAATTTCTAGTTTGTTAAAACACAAAAACAGAATGCAACAATTTGCCACTCATAAACCCAAGTTCTAATCACAACACAAGTATGAAATGTTTAAACAAACATGCAAACAAAAAAAATAAAAATAAAACAGGCACCAATGCACCCCCATGCCATCAGAGAGGCAGGCTTTTGAACCACAATCAGGCCTGATGGTCCGTCTCCTCTCTAGTACAAAAGATATGGAGTTTGGGTTAAAAAAAAAAAAAAGAATAAATAAAATTCAATCTGACTGACCACTGAACAGTTTATAATATTTTGGCTCAGTCCATCTTCAACGAGCTCTGGCCCAAAGAAGATGGTGGTGATTCTGGAAAGTGTTCACGTCTCGTTTCGCATGATCCAGTGTCAACCAGTATGTGTGCATGGCAGCTGTGTTTACAGACAAGTTCCTGAGTCCATGCAGTGATGTCTAAAACAGAAGAGCCATTTTTAATGCAGTGCTGCATGAAGGTCTGAAGATCACCGTGTAGACTTCTAGTTTCATCCTTTGAGCTCAGAGATTTCTACAGATTCTTGAAACCATTTCAGATTACACACTTTAGACTGTGGGATTTTTAAAGTCTGTCCAATTTTTCCATTGAGAAACATCCATTATCTTTACCCACTTTTTCCTTTTCTGAAATTGTTTCACTTTTTTTAAAGACAGTTTTCTGCAGACTGGTGAACCTCTGCCCATTTTTACTTCTAAGAGATTTAGCCGTCCTTTGCCTGACCGTTGACAAATGATCCAACTAGTTGCAAAATGCTCCTCCAGCTGTTTCTTAATCACACTGCATACTTTTACAGCCTCTTCAAACATGTCGCTGCCATTAAATGCAAAATTATCATTTTTGTTTACTACGTTCCATTACAAATAAAAAAATACTGAGATTAGCAAACTATTGCATTCCATTTACATTTTACACACCATCCCAACTTTTTCAGAGTTGCACCTGTACATTAGTGAAAATCTGTTGACCACATGCAGAATATTTAAACACATGCAATGACTTGAGCAACATCTGCTCACTGGATAAATGCAAGTTTGGATGTTTAGTTTTCTTTTAAAAGAAGTGGAAGGAACATATTCAGTGTGTAATGTCTTAAGATGAGTACAAAGGCTCAGCCAAACCCTCTCCCTACACATTTATAATTTATTGCCTTTAGGTCACCATCTGTCTTAAAACCAAACCTGGAGAAGTTAAATATGTGTGAACGTTAGTGATGTGTGACTGGTAACTCTAAAATTGTCCCTAGGTGAGAGAGAGTGTGTGAATGGTTGTCTTGTTTGTCTCTACGTGTCCCTGTGATGGACTTGCGACCTGACCCCTGCTTCTTGCAGTGCTGGATATGGGCACCCATGACCCCGCGACCCAAAAAGTATGAAACAAGTAAAAAAAAAAAAGATAACGGATGGCTGGATGCAGTCAAACTGAACTCTGAATGCTTATTAATTATAAGAGCTCACCTTCAGGGCTCCACAGATTTCCACCACGTCATATTCCTCCACTACAGTAACTCTGAAGTTGCTGGTCTGCATGAGCTCCTTCAGGAGAGTCCCGTGGTTTTTATTCTTACAGCCTGCAAGAATGAACAAATGAACAAACTGTGGCATTCCCAGAACTCTTAACTAGCTGATTTAGCAGGTCTGATCCAATAAACCAACAAATCTTAATCCTGCTCAAAGAGATCTGGATTGATTTTATTTTATATGGTTGTATTATGCAGATAAATCATTTTATAAAAAAAAAGGAAGCACATATAGGCCTGTCCCGATAACAAATTTTGCTGGGCGATTAATAGTCTCAGAAATTATTGCGATAAATGACAATATTGTTTGAAATTTAACAATAATTAATTGTCAAATTTTAGAAGAAATTTTGATTTGTTTGGAGTGTAGTACCTTTTCTGACCACCTGATGGTAGTATAAGACTGAAGCAAAAGGATGGATAGTTGTTTTTAAGAATTTTTTTTTAGGATGGACAGATGCGCAGTTGTCTCTTAAGACAAATGGGAGGTAGGGTCCTGAACGTGACATGGGCTGACATGGTGACGTGGTGGACACTTGATGATTTGAGCTTTTTAGCATAGCATTTTTCACACAAAGCTTTTAATAAAAAATAAATAAATAAAAATCAGTTAAGTTCTCAGCTTCTTTTTGCAGAGAAAAACAACTTTTGACACGAAGGCACGGGTTTCAACCGTGAATTTTGGCGCTCAACAAGATAGAGGTTTTTCCCCAGGTCCGCCTGTTAGCTCAGCTCGTAGCTTAGCTTCTCAGCTTAGCTGCTTTTAACGATCCCAAAACACGATTTGACGGTTAAAAACAGATTTTAAAGAGAAAAGAGAAAGGAAGGGGTCAGTGAAGAGCACTGGAGTTGAGCCTTTTGTCATCCAGTGTCTTCAGTAGAAAGAGAGACAAAGAAACGATAAAGACGATAAATGAAAATGGAGGTTGATCATTTTCATTCATCATGCGATTAATTGATTTATTGTTAATATAAAAAAAAAGAAATGATAAAGCAAACAAACAAAAATCTATGTTTCAAGAAAGCTTGAACTATGATTAATGCTTTATCTGGATTCTCTGTTTTTGATCAGAGGTGGGAAAAAAACCCAACCTAATTAAAAACAGTCTTGTTAACAACAGTGATCAGGCTCACCAATGGTGGTCTCACAAAACTTCTCATCAGCAACCTCGTTGGCGATGTTGGCTCCCATCAGCACACTCATCGTGATGCCGAGCTTCTCCTGAATCACATCCGAGATGAGTTTGAGCCCGTCGGGCCCCTCGTCTACGCCCTGGAGGAGCGACAGCAAGGAGGCGTCTGACTCAAAGATCATATTGCGCAACAACACTGCTTTCAGCTGTTCGCAGACTGCCTGAACGCAGCACGGACAATCACGTGATTACAACAATACTACACAAAGAGCAAAGTCAAACCTTGATGAGTGATATTCCCAGTGCATCGCTCTTGACTTTGCCCTTCACAGTGTCGCACACTTTGCCGATAAACTGGTGCGGGATCACAAAGACCAAAATGTCTGCATCGCTGGATGCTTCTACCAGGTCCGGCACTGCCAGCTGAGAGAAATGCGAGGTTCACAATGTCAGAAAGAAAATGCATATAAAAAAGCCTGATGCAGCACTTTGAACGATTTGAAACTTTAAGCCAATTACAGAAATACATATTTTATATACCATGCATAAAAAAGGTAAACCCAGCAGATCTTACCACATTGGCTGGTAGCTTATGTCCAGGAAGATATTTCACATTTTCATGGGTGGTGTTGATTATTTCCGTTAGCTTCTTCCCATTCACCATCTCCTCAAACACCCACATTTTGACAGTGTTGTCAAACTTTGGGTTCTGAGCAACATTGGCACCCACAATCTTGGCAATGGCAGAGCCCCTGGGTTGTGAACAGTTACATGTTGGTGTTTAATCTGTGTTCACTGCAATCAAACAACATTTATGGCTGTCTTTTGATCTCACGGCCTTGGCAGGCTGCTCAAGGTGTTCCTCACAGCATGAACCGAACTAAATGGGAAATTACACTGATATAAACAAGTTTCACCACTACTCAGATTCTGTTCAAGTTATACAAAAATTTTTACACAAACTTGTGATTTTTTTATGCGCAAACATAACTTCGGCAAAATAAAATAATTTACTTGGTTTCTTTCCAACTAGACCTACTGTCAAATTGAATACTACTAATAAAATGTCAAAAGCATAAACTAGAAACATGGTCCAAGCCGAAAGTGCGGGATTATTCTAAAGATTTGGCCGTTTCAATCTAAATCAAGTTTTATGTTCATAAAATTCTCAAACGGACGCGGTAACTTTAATCTCTCGGATTTTGAATGAAGCGCTGCTGGTGAAAACAAGCTAAGCTAACAGAGCTAATTTCAAACGGCTCAGCTGTAACTGGCACGCGGTCAGTTTTCTGAACACTCAGCCAGTTTCTCGGCACGTGCGCTCCTACCAAAACAACCGGTTCGTAGCTGTCAAACCTAGTTCCCGTTACCATGGTGAGGGTTGCTAATTAATTAGCAACCTGTCAGCACCCTGAGGTTCGCGTGAAACTCTGACGGGTTCTCATTAACGCTTCAACTTACCAGTTTCCAGAGCCGACGATGCAGACTTTCTTCGGAGCTGCCATTGTGAGGAGATGTCGAGCAGAGCGGAGGTGAAGCTCGGTGCTGACTGCAGTCCTGTTGTGCAACAAAGCTGGGATTTTTATTGGCCTGTCCTGGTGGGGGGAGACACCGGTCCGCCCATCTGAACGGAGGCCGAGTCTGGTCACTCATTCACGGGGCAAAGGTTAGCAGGTTCAAGGTAAGGGGAACAATTATTAAAAGCTGTTGTTATTCAATCTGTGATAAAGAGTCATTCAGATGAACTGTAATCACTTCCACATCTGTAAAATTGACCAAAGTTATATCCATTCTTCTGCTGTAGCGGCCATCTTGAATCAGGTTTATTTTGTATTTTGCTAACAGACAAGACTGACGCCAAATAGTTAATAAAAAAAATTAAACAAAGGTCTTCCACATGGAGTTAGTGTTCAGAAAATGTGACAGGGACGACTCTCAGCTACTACCACACTAAATTTTAGCTCAGTATCGTAAAAAGGACCAAGTGAAAGCTATTTATTGTTTTCATGGCCAGTTAGTGGCGGCAGCCATCTTGACTTCCAACATGAGTCAGATGTAGATGAAGGCTACATTTAATGATTCTTTTCTAAGAGCTTTGTTAAAATTCATGCAGCGCTTCATGATTTGGTAACAGATAAACACACGAGCAAAAACATTATCATCCGCCTTCACCAATCCACCAACAAACCACATTATCCTGTTTTTGGTGTGCTTGTATTTTCTAAAATTCAGGGGGGAAAAGGTGTTGGAGACAAACATTTTCCTGCATCCATGTCTTTGTAAAGCCCAAACAAAGCATTTTTTATACTTTTGTATCGTCCTCTTTAGTCCTCCACTTTGGTACATTTAATTAACAGTTCATTTTATTTCTCATTCCTCATTAAGATTGTATTTTTAAAAAATGGTTCAAACTTTCTTCTTGCTCCCTGCTTTGTATCAGTCTTATCAACAACTTATGCTTCTGTTCAGTGTCCTGAGATGACTTCTGTTGTGACTTGGCACTATATAAATAAACTGAATTGAATTGAACTTGTTTGGCTTGGAGAAAAGAGTTATTAGAGCATTATTAACTTCTCCCATCACATGCTGAGGTGACTTTAGGCAAGACAATGAACCCCACATTGTCCCCAATCTGCTAACTGGTGTGTGAGTTTGTGTGTGTGAATGGCTTGTGGTGTAACGTAATCATGTAATGCAGCCCATTTACCATCTGGGCACATAGCACCGTTCTCTTTTCTAAGGTATTAAATGTTGGAACAAAATTAATAAGAAGTTGCATAAATTTAAGTAATATAACTTTAAAAAAAACATAAACATATACAAAAGTATGTTAATTATAAAAAAATATGTTATAATCAATGGAAATGATCTTTAGGTTTCACAACTGAAAGACAATAAACTTGCAAAATATGGAGGCAGGCTGGAGCTTTTATTGTGCAAACTAAAACAGTCTAATGTTTCAACATGACCATGCCATCATCAGAGTTGTTATTTTCTTTCTGTTGCAGTTTTCATCAGTGATCTGTCCAGGCTGGACTTTACCTCTCACCCTTTACCTGCAGGGACAGTCCTCAGGCCCCACCACCACCCTGAACGAGCTCATCAGGTATAGAAAATGGATGGATACACACAAAATAGCTTAGAATAAAACATACTTTGAGGTGAGCAGCACAAGTTCATAATTTAAGGATTGAGAAAACATCATGGCTTTTGTGAAACATGCATGAGAGGTATGTGCTGAAGGTAAAACTTTGTCGTCTTTTGATGGCACAATGACATTCCTGACAGACATTTCTGGTCTAAAACTTCCCTGAAGCATCCGGGTGCTGAGAAATGACATTTTACTATTGGCACAGTGACTGCTCCCACACCAACAACTACACAATGGATCACTTTCTAGGTGTGTTAACAAAGTAGGAAAACACAGCAGCATTTGACTGAAAAAAGTCTGAATATTTTTAACAACTCTATTATAGAGCCAGCAAAGAGTTAACATGAGAAAAGACGATTAGACTTTGTGCGAGTTAGTTCGCTGTGGCAACCCCTGAAGAAGGGAGCAGCCGAAAGAAGAAGAAAATTTAACATGATAAAAGGACACACAGCCAAGCCCATCAAGATTCAGTGCGATCATAATGGGAGAAAATATTTTGTCCGAAGGCTCCAAACAAAAGAGGAGCCTGTTGTGTAAGAGCTGGCCAGCCAACAGGAGAGGCCACGCAGGAAGGAACTAAACTCAGCAGTCTGGTTTCTAACTGCAGCAACAAAGAGAAAATCCAGCTTACTTTGCTGACAAGTTCACCACAGAAACTCAGTCACATTTTAATAAACCAAAGTACTTCCTCTTTGAAGTAAAACAACAGTACTTCATATATTCATGCAGCTATATATGAACGAGTGTGTGTTTTCATTCATTTGTTGCATTGTTTCTAGTTCTACACTTTACCACCTGCAGTGGCAAAATCTAACACCGAACTGGCTTTTGTTGACTATTTTTCTGTTCTTGGTGTGCTGAAAGTGTTTTAGCGTATCTTCTTTAATTTGCATTTTGATGTTCTTGGAAAAACAAAGTTTGAAATTAAAAAAGAAAACAGCGTTTATTCTTAAAAACCAGAGAAAAAAGAGACAAAAAGTTTCATCAAGTTGGCACATAATCTTTAATAAAACAGTTGCTGCAAGTCTAATATACATTTATATATCAAACAAAGTAAAACTCTCAGTTCTCAAAGTAAATAGAAGCCATAAAAAAACTAGAAAGCAAGTCAAACCTGTGAGCCTGTACTGAGATGTAGCACAAAAATGACAAATTTCCATTTTTATTTCATGTACTGATGCTGTGGGGATTGTAGCAACATAGATAGGAAAAACAGACTTTCCAAATACTTTAGATAAATAAACTATTAAGTATATGTACAGAAATCTAAGCTGGAACATACGGCTAACCTACGGTAAATAAATCCAACACAGATAACATTTAGCTGACCAGACTGAGCCGAATACAGGAAGGATTACTATCCAGTCACTGCAGTATTTACAGTAAATTACATATGGTGCTTTGTTTGTGCTCGACATTAACCCAGCACAGCTACACATTCTCATTTCCTGCTGAGACCGACACGGAGCTCAGTCATTTAGATTTACCACCACAGAACATTTAGAACGATTTGACTTTTGTTAACAGGATAGAAACTCATGACCAGTCAGAGCTCACATGTTTACAGGCTAACAGAGGGCAGCATTCTCACATTTTCTCCCTCATCAGCATCAGATGACACTACAAAAAAAACCAAGCCTCAGTCACACAATGAGATCACAATATGAAGCAGACAGATGACACAAACCACCCTCGAATGTGCAGGAGACACCTGCAGAAGGTCCTCCCTACACCTCCATGTACCACAGGGACAGCAGGCAGGAACCGTGCAAACATGCAGAGCATGTGTAGTCTGGTTTTTAGAGTAAGTCCAGCTCAAATACACCTGATACGATGAAATGGAAATAACAGAATTTAACATAAAACCAAGTAAATTATTTTAATTTAATAGTTTGTTCATGATTTTAGTTTGTTATCTTTAGCTTTTATAATGTAGCTGATGCTTTTGGTGGGCCATCATGCAGAACGTTTCTGTGTAATGACAAATAGTTTGTTCGTTTTGGAAGACTTGGTCACATTTTGTGGCAGGTTTGTTTGTGCATCAATGTTGGAAGTCTATTTAAGAAAAAATCAAACCTGTTTTATTCAAACATCAACTGTCAACTAACATTTGACCTCTTGGGTTTCTTATTTTGTCTCATCAGTAGTTTTTTTTTTTTTTTACAGATTTACAACCTAATACACTAAATAAAACAAAATCTGCTTCACTAAAAAGTATGATAAAACAGTGCTGTCTTTTATTTTTGCTTTCACTTCTGTGTTTCTTTTCTGTTGGAGCACATTTCTTTATGCAAATGACTGAAGGAAATATCTGTATTCATTTATGGTGAAAACAGGTGAATTGTGATGTAAGTGAGGATAATAAGAGCTCCATAAGTGTGCGGCCGTACAAATCTGATCAAAACAGTCCATTTGTTTTTGTCCTTACTCATCAGACTCCAGGAATTTCTCACTACTGAACTTGTTTACAGAAAGTGTGAGTAAACCAGTGGTACCAGTAAGCTCCATTTAATTATAACTGAACACTGGTTCAGCATCTTTAAGTTCCAAAAACAGATTATTGAGAAGAACCTATGAGGACTCTGATCAGAACGTTTGCTGTGAAAACAACAACAAAGATATTCTGCTTCTGTACGTTCAAATAAAGATCTTATTGATGCTCAGTTTCTCTTGGCTCCTAAAGTCTTTATGATGCTGTCGCCCCGACAGATGAGGTAGAGCAGTGTGTCAACAGAACGCACCGAGACTAACAAGGGTCAAAGATGACAATGAGTGGATCTAAAAATGAAAAACTGGAGAAAAACAAGGTTTTTCGTTATGAAGGCTGATCAAAACAACAGACAACAAACACAACCCTAAAACTGATTCCTGAACACACACTTTATGAACGTTCATTTAGCTGAAGCCCCTTGCCATCGTGGTTTTATCAGATCGTTATGGAGTTGTTTGATCATCACATCATGTTGATCTCTGGTCTCTGGTGTCCTGCCGTCTGCATGGCTGTTCCTCTATCTTCAGTCTGTTTGGCGATCAGCCCACAAACCTTCAACCAGGCACAGTTCACACACACGTCTCCAGCTGCCGCAGCAGAGTGGACAGAAAGATGGAGAACCATTCCAGCTCAAGACTGCAGTGGATCAATGAAAGTTACTGACGTGACACTTGACGTCGTCTAAGCTCAGGACGGTTCCCTGGTTGTTGTTGTTGTTGTGTTTGTGCTTCTTGTTCGAGCAGCGACACAGTTTGTACTTCAGCACCTGAGAGGATCAAAAGAACAGAAAACAGTCTGAAATGATTGACTGCACAGTGAGCATCAGACCCATCAGGATTCTTCTTCCCCACCTCATAAATGTAGTCAAATATCTCCAGAATACTCAGGATGCTCGCCCCAATAAAAAGCCCCATCTGTCCACCAATATCACCTGGAATAACAGAATATGCCATCATTTATGATTCAGACAGCATAAGTACACAGAACAAAACATAAAACGTACAAAACCAAATGTGGCAGTACCTAAAAGTCCGGCCACTTCATAAGCTTTCTTCTGTTCAATAGTTTCATAGTTCAGAGCTTCAAAGAAGATGTCTAAAACCAGAATATTATCCCTGTCGAGACAAAAACAAAGATCTGATGATGCTAACTTTTAAAGAAAGTCTTGCTCTTCAAACGTCAAGAAGACCACAGACTGGTGTGAAGGGTGAGCGATTAGAATGGATCAATGCAAACATATGAAAACAGTGAAAAATGAAGATGAGGTTTGGGCTCATCATCAATATTATGAATTATTCCAATAAAACACAGTCGGAAATATGAGCTTGAGTCTGTTTTTTCAAGCTCAGAGATGACAACTTTTGATCAAGCTTCACTTGTAAACAGTCACAGCAAAAACAGGAGTGTTGATTCAACTCGCAGAGTTAAATTTGACACTTTTTCTGAGTTTATCTAATTCTCACAGATTCCGAGTTCAAAGTACACTTTGAAAAGTGTTAATATTTGAACTCTTTAATAGTGTTAAATATCTGACGCCCTTGGTGTTGTTTTATAACACCACTTAAAGTGCACTTTTAACTCAAAATAGTGTTATTCTCTGTCACTGTAAGTGTTAATTTTTTTTAATATACGTTGTTATTTTATGACATATTGAAGTGCTTTTAAAAGTAAAATTGTGTTATTTATTTTTTGTACTCTATTAATCCCCAAGGGGGAAATTAATTCTCTGTATTTTCCCCATTGCACATGTGAGTGCATGCGTGTGGGCTGGGGGCCTTGCTCGTGGGCCCAGGGTTGGGGCAGGTGGGGGTGGGTGTTGCACCTTTCCCACCCACATTTTGATGTTGCTGGTCTGGGAGTTGAACCAGAGTTGACCAGAGACTCTCTGACCACAGGCTCAGCCTCTCTAGCCTCTGAGCCACCACACCCCCTTTTGTAAGCGTTTATTTTGCAACATACATTGTGTTATTTTATGAAACATTAAAATGTATTTTCAACACTAAAATTGTGTTATTTCCTTTCACTAATGTGTTAACATTTATTGTTTTGTTTTACAAAACATTAAAAGTGCATTCTGTGTTTACTATCCTAACATGCAAGTCACCAAATCTGAACATTCTTGTAGTCACCTGCAAGGCTGCAGAAAGTTACACACACGCACGCACGCACGCACGCACGCACGCACGCACGCACGCACGCACGCACGCACGCACGCACGCACACTTTACAGTTACATCTGAAGTTCAAATGTGTTGACCAGCAACAGTGAGCAAGTTAAATAATAATAATAATAAAAAAGTTTTCTTTTTATTTGTTTTTTATTAAAAATAAACAACTTTCCAGCACTGTAGGAATTAGCACAATAATAAGATCAGTCACAATTTAAATATTTATTAACTTCACCTGAAGTGAATCTAACTCGGTCACAATGTTAACATTTAACTCGCTTGATTGACACCGCTCACAGAGCTTTTTGATCACCACAAGTGTTAAAACAACTCCCAAATCAACACCCATCAACTCAAAATTATTAACACAGAAAAACAACACTACAGATCTTGCTGCGTGCAGCCACAAGCGCATTAAAGGTAACGGTGTAAAGCTAAAGTCGCTGTTTTCACTCGGAGCGATGACACTTTGAGTGGTGCCAGAGCAGCTCCTGCACAAAATTCAAACCTTCCTCTACAGCTAACGTAATTTATGACAAGAACCAATTTATATGACATGTCAAAGCTGCTGCCAGTGGTTTATTAGGACTACTGCGTCTCTCACTCCCTGATCACACTTACAGACAGGCAGACAAACCGAGTAAAAATTAAGCCTCAGACTAACAGTCCCTGTGTAAAAACTGTATATTGTTATGAAATAATTCGTGATCTGTACATGTCAGAAGTGTCAAGTTGTCCCAAATGTCATTTTAATGCATCTGCAGCGTTTTATTGGAGGTATGACAAGTTAAAAAACTTATCTCTTCCAGTTCAAAACTGAGCTCAGATCTAACGGGAGCCAGAGACTCTGGATGTGCGCTCTCTGCTCCCTGAGGAGACTAGAGGGGAAAAAATCCTATCACTTTGAGAGGTGCACTGAGTGAAAGAAGACCGAAATGTCTTATTTTGATGTGTACAATGTAAAATAAGTGTAAATATAAGAGTTTGCAAAACATGTAAAGTCTGGAGAGACTAAAAGGTATATTGTATAACATCTTAACACTAAGTTAATATTCTGTGGTAAAGACTTCAGAAGTCATAAAACTGACTTTGAAGAAAATGTTAAAGATATCAAAATGTCAGTCCAGTCCTGTTAAGACCTGCTTAAACTTTGAAAGATGTTTTTATTGTGAAGTATGTCTGAGTTATAGAGTTTCAAAGATGGCTGGGGGTTCTCACTTGATTTTGCAAAATCCCTTTGTTGCCTATCAGGAAAATTTTAGATTATTTTTCCCCTCCAAATTTTGTACACACCGTACAATGCAAATGGTAAATGGTCTGTACTTATACAGCACCTTTCTATCTTATCAAGGTACTCAAAGCTCTTTACAACACAATCTGTGCCTCATTTACCCATTCATACAGCACTCTACTAGATCTATACAGAGAATAATCAGAGCTTTATCACATTCATTCACTGATGGGACACACATCAGAGGCAATGACGGGTTCAGTGTCTTGCCCAGGGACACTCCAGCATGTGACTGCTGGTGGATTCGAACCCCCAACTCTCCCATTGGAGGACGACTGCTCTAACGACTCAGCCACAGCTGCCCAATGTACTGCCATCATTTTTGTTTGAATGGGTTTTTTTGCATGGGATTTTCCAAAGTTGCATGGGTTGTATAGCAAATCAAAAATTTTTATAAAAAAAGGAAGATCACAGGCTGAATAGAAATAACCGTGCATGTTTGATAAAAGAATGGAAAGCATCAAATAAGCATTGATTGCTCTACTACAGTGTTTGCGTAAAAAAAGAACACAACAACATGTTTGGCTGATACTTACTTAATATACTGCTCCGACTTGTTGTATTTCTTTGCGAGGTATTTGGCGGAGGCCTTGCTGGGGATCTTGACAAAGGACAGCTCTTTGCTGTACCTCGTCATGTTGCACGGCGTCTCACACACGCAGAAATTATTGTCCTGTTCCACCAAAAAATCTAAAGAGAAGAAAAGACAGCGGAGCTCGACCTTTGGCTCAGTGCAGCTGTGAGGTACAGGATGTGAGCGCATTATTCATGCAGCAGAGACGTCAAGTCTGTTTGCAGGTTGAGTTTAGTCTGTGTGCATGAAATGAGTGTAATTCAACGTTGAAGTGATGACAAAACTGTGTATGTGCGTCGATTAAACATTCAGTCATGGCTGAAGCTTCTTTCTCACCGAGAGCTGGGTCAGCACATTCTTTGTACATCTCGGGGGTGCAGTAAGGTGCATCGCCTGCAGCAGAAGCAACACACACAAAACAAACGTCTCTTTTTTTTCTCTTTAACGTGCTTTCAGTCTGTGAGGGGTTTCCTACCGGGCATGTGCACCATGCGACAGTTGCAGTTGTCCACCAGGTAGCGTGTTTCACAGTCTATGCGACAGGCCGTGATGCTGTAAGTGTCGAAGAACTCTGAATCCATGGGCGTCACCTTACAGTCTCCCCACGGTGGGGGCAGATAGATCAGCTGCAGCGACGTGAACCAAAAGGCCGAGGTCAGAGGAATAAATCCAACAAGAACCAGAACAAAACGTTCATTTTCTGTCGAATGAAACTGGCTCAGATCAATTCCAGTTAAAGCGTAACTTTACACTGCTGGACATCATTGTTATCAGTGAAAATTAAACATTTTGGGAGATGAGGTTCATTTGATGAACAGATACAGAGAAATAATTTAAGAAGTTGTAAACAAAATCCAGCTTAATGTTTTTTTTTGTTGCAACAGAGAGGTGATGTAAACGCTTGTTATTTACAGACCTGTGATGAAGTCATAATTTTTGTGTGAATCACATTTTATAGAGTATATTAAAAAAATGTGCATTTTCAGATTCTATTGCTGGACAGTTCGATCAGCACATGCACAAATAAACCCAAGTTTGTTTGATTAAAAAAAATTGAAACATGCAGTAGATCAAACAGTCTTTTTGATATGAGTAAATAATATATTTTTTCTGTTTAACCCTCCGGCTGCTTTTGGGTCAACATGACCCACTAGGCCTCGGTTTGTAGGTCATTGTAGGTGTTCTAGAATTGCGCCGCTCAAGGTGGCAGCATGTTGGAGCAGCTCTGTTTCTTTCATTTTGAGATTTTGCTTTTGGAAACTTTAATTCCTCTTTTTTTTGGATGTAAAGCACATTTTTTGGATGATTGTTTCCTCTGGTATCAGATGCTGTGCAGCTGGAAGGATTATTACTGAAACTTTTTTAGTTTTGGACATTTGTTATGATGCGTAACCATGGCAACAAGGCTGTTTTCTACAACCAACAACAGCTGATTAACATCTCAAAAGCTCAAATAATATCTCAACTACAGCCCCAAATCTCAAGTGAGTTGAAAAGGATGTTCTGTGGATGCATGCTCATCTACCTGCCAGCTGTGCTTGAGTGCCTGACCACTGAGCTCCTGGAACTAGCAGGAAACATGGCTCGTGACAGCGGAAGGACAGGATCGTCCCTCAGCACCTACAGTTTGCTGTCCGCAGTGACGAGGAGCTCGGCAGGCTGCTGGGAGGAGTTGCCATCGCACTGGGAGGAGTTTTGCCCCGCATTCGGGCGGTCCTACAGCCCTAGAGGAACCGAGATGCCAGCCGAGTCTGGGTGGACGGATCAGACGGCATCTCCAGCCAGTTTCTTAGGATCTACTGTGGGATGAACCTTTACAAGAGATCCTTCCTGTTTACAACCATCAGTGTCTAAAACATCTCTTAATAAAATGAGGATAACGAGTTACAACAACAAATAATTTCCCTCTGGGATTAATAAAGTATTTTTGAATTGAATTGAATTGAATTATTTTGACTCAAGGGCAGCAGGAGGGTTAATCATGAGTTTATGGGACTGCAGCTCCTTTTAAGTACAAACAATTTCTCATTGAGGTTACAAAGATGTTTGAATATATCTTATTGTTTGGTGCGTCCAATAGAAACAGAACTGATGAACAGAACAATAAAAAAAAGTGTTAATTTTACTCCAGCAGAAGTATTGTTTCATAAATGTGACACATTGTACCCTCTGTTCCTGGCAGGAGACGAATGTCTGGAAGCCCGGTGACACGCCGAAGCCGAGCTGGTCGATGAAGGACGGCTCGTCTTGACTGTGGATCTGAACTTTGACCCCGGCTTCAAAAGAAGTCTCATCTGAAGGTGATGAGTGGGACATAAATGGTACGTGTTTCACTATTAAATGCTGACACTTTGAGTTCCGTCTTTCACTCTCTCAATCTGAGGGATTACCAAGCAGGTTTAGGATGCTGTTCTCACCTGTTTCTCCCCAGACTGGCAGATATTCATCCTGCTGAATGTCCAACATGAGCTCCAGTCCATTACCCATACCCCCCTTTGTCGTGATGAGTGGAGGGTGTCCATCGCTGCCTGCGTTGTAGGTGTAACACTTCCCATAGCGAGTGAAGACCTGAGAGACAAACAAGGTTAGACTTTAGATGAGTTACTGATGTTGTTCCACTGGGGGTCAGTGTTGCTCTCAGATTCTGACGTGTAAGGCTCTGTGTGTGTGTGTTTATATGTTTCAAATAACACGTGTGTGTACATGACAGCTATAGCATGAGTGAAAGGTGAGGCAACAAGGACTATGAGAGAAAATGGAGGTGAAGATTATAGAAGAGTTTCTTTCTGTGGTTGTGTTACACAGTCTTCAGTGAGGTGATGGAGACTGGCAGCCTGGTGATTTAACGTTACCTCGCATGCTCTTTATGGCACTTATAATGGACCTCATGTTACCATGGAGACCAAGCACCCCAGCCAGGAGGAACGCTGCCTTAATTTTCAAGGAAAGCCGAGGCACAGACATAAAATTGAGCCCCCGTGAAACAGCAACAACATGATGATAAAAACCTAACCGTATTAAGCTGTGCATTAGACTGCTGAGTGTTGTATGAGTCACATAAACCAGTGAGGAAGACCGCAGGAGAGCGGGCAGTGATGAAGAGTTGAGATGCAAAGTGGTGGGGACAAAGAAATAGAGTTTAGACACTAATGCTCAGAGCAAGCTTTCATTCAGCATTTTGGCACAGACGGACATATCTATGATTAGAAAGAACAAAGCAAACAAGTAATTGTTGGGAAGGGCTTCGGCTCATGCTGCAGGCAGTTTGAACATTTAGGCCATCTATCACGCAAAGTCAGCGAGGGGCTGCTGCTGGTTGCAGCTGACGCCAACATCAATCTGAGATGGAAAAAACATTCAACACTAAAAAAGACTAATGAAAGGCATAAATAATCCGTGTGTGTGCCCACATTAGATGTTTACTTTGTTTTTCCACGAGATTCAGAATAAAAGGAAGAGAAAGAAGAGACGATAAGGAGGAACTAATTACACCTGACTGACGTCAGGACTGGGAGTGATGCTGCAATGGCTATTCAATTCCTGAATTACCAGTACTAACCACATACATTTTACACGTTGCTCTACGTTTTTGATGAAAAAAGTTAGGATATATATTGCCAAATATTTATTTTATTGCTTTTTTGTGAACAATGTCATCGCCTTTATCTCCCTCCTGCTGGTCGAGGTTGTATCTCATAAAAACAATTTGGTTCAATATTGAATTAAGAAAAACGGATGCCTCCTGTATAAACCCCCAGCTGTAACAGCAGTGCCGGTATTTCTAATTTTAACCGTGTAAAATAATACAGACCGACAGGCACTAGGCTTTCTGGATTGGATTTCTAATTTGATTCAATGCAATAATTCTGCTTTAACACTCCAGATTAACAATATTAAATGGGGGAAACTTCTGGGAAGTAATTCTACTAAAATATTCAAATTAGTCACACTTTTAGAAGCCACATTTTGCTGCATTAAATAGGATCACATGAGCTCCCGAGTTAGAAGCGGTTGCATCAATGAACTAAAACCAACAAAATTAGTGCACAGGGTGAACATCCCAATGAGATTATTGGAACAGCCTGTTCTGATCACAGCTGACAGCGAGATATGATAAATGATCCGATAGGTCCACTGATGAATGCAGGCGGTGACTTGAATGGCCCCGTAAGTGTAAATAAGTAAAAAAAACGAGAATAAATCACTAAAAAACATTTTAAATTCTATACTGAACAAAACAACACACCACAAGCCAAGTACTGTAATTAAGTATATCACATTATTTATTAGTGGGAACTAGTTTGTAGGGCAAATTATTTTTTTAAGGAAGGGCTGTGCTCTACCTGCCCTTATGGCTTCACCTCATGATGGACCTGGGCGTTTGTTTGCAATCTTCCAAACCAGCACAGCAGCAGCATCACCCGCCTCGCACAAAGTTTAGTGATTCTTTTAACATTTTGAAGATCTGCAGCCTCTGAAAATCTAACCTCAGATCAAGCAGCTGCTTAAGTCTGTGACTACAATCATAAAATATTATATTAACGCACAGGTTCCCAAGTTTCCATCCAGAACATTGCAATCCTAACGATTTATAAGATAAAATACACTTTAGAGTCCCAAAAGGACCATTTTGCTTCTCATCAGAGGAGCCTTCTCAATTCAAAACGGTCATTTTGTGAGCTGTTGAACTCATGTGCAAATCACTCCTGCCCTCCTTAGGGTCATTACAGCCCTTGTGAACCTGGTATCATGGTCTTGCACCAAGAATTTTTTTTTTCATTTACCCTTTATTTATCCAGGTAGTCTCATTGAGCCACGAGAACTCATTTTCAAGAGAGACCTGTTTAGGGAGCAGATGGGGGTTAAGGGCCTTGCTCATGGGCCCAGGGTGGGGCGAATGAGGGTGGGGACACGTGTGGGTGCTTCACCTACCCCACCCACATTTTTGATGTTGTCGGTACCGGGGCGTGAACCGGCGATCTTCTGATCACAGGCCCACCTTCTCTAACCTCTGTGCCACCACTCCCCCTAATAAATTAATTATTATAAGAAATAAATTAACAACGTTACTTTAGTCCAACTCTATCCATCCATCCATTCATCCATTCATCCATTATCTTTACCCGCTTCTTCCTTTTTGGGTCTCTGGGGTCACTGGTGCCCATATCCAGCCATCACTGTGTGAGCGGCGTGGTACACCCTGGACAGGTCTCCAGTCCATCACAGGGACACACAGAGACAAACGAGACAAACAATCATTCACTCTCTCACTCACACCTAGGGACAATTTAGAGCTATCAATCAGCCTAAGATGCATGTTTTTGGTCTGTTTTACCCAATATTTTATAAAATTATTTCACTTTTCGACATTACTGTTATAATTTGTTGCGACTGTAATAAAAATGGTATTATGCTAATTTTAAAATATAGAAAATGGGGGATACTATCTCCTTTTTATGCTGCCCTCCACAGCACAATATTCAAAATAAATACAGCCTCTTCCACTTTAAAGGTCTTTATTATGACACTGTGGTCCTGCCTTGTGGACGAATCAGCTATAATTATTCTTTCAGTAAGTGAGACAGATCTAATGGAAACTTGAAAAAGAAAATTTAATTAGTAGGTCGCCTCTAAAGGAGTTTTCTTGTGTTTATGAACTAAAACAACTTAAAGTGAGGAATACAAATAAGTTCCCTCAAGAGCTTTTATTTATCAGCTGAAAGTTAGTCATAAGTCACAAACTTTCCTTTTAAAAACCTGAGAGCTCTTCCAGATTAATTATAGCTCTAATATGAAATTCATTGTTGTGACACTTGACCCAAAGTTGCAGCCAAACACTGATAGCGGATCGCTACAGAAACCGTAGTCAATGTGCTACATAAACAATAAATATTTCAACAAAATCTTTTTTTTTTTGGTAAATATTTTCCCAATCATATTTCAAACCATAGACACAGGAGAGAAAACAAATATCAGACAAAGGAAATGTGTTACAGAAATGTTATTTTCTTACTCTTCTGAGCTGTGCTAGCCCCAGGGAGATGGTAAACACAAAACACGGGATTATCAGTGTCAACAGAAGTGACCCTGGGGGGGCTTGTAGGCACAAAAACATCAGAGCAGTCCTGCCAATAAAGGTCTGTCTGTCAGTCTGGGTTAAAGCAGTGGATTGACTGACAGAACGACTCTGCTATCCACTGGGTCAGGCCACCATCTCTAAAAATCATCCAGTAAACACTGTGCTACCCGTTCCATTTTCCGATCCTCTCTGACCTGCTGATCTGGCACTCACTACAGTCATTTGCACTTATTGATCAGAGGGCCTTGACAGATGGCTGAACATCTGTCACGAAGAAAGACTCTGCCCTCGCTCCACAAATGAAAGGATGTATGTTTGAGATCATCCAGTGGCTGCTCTTCATAAATAAGTAAATCACTGCCCAAATGTTAAATCATGTATGTGAGGTGCATGATGTTCCCCAGCAGCATGATTGATTCACAGATGGGGGGTGAGGTCAAGGTAACAGTTTTTCTCAGCTGTTTGTTCCACAAGTTGACGTTGTGACCGAGGTGATGAGAACCACACGGCACATACATTGCAGCTGGCTGTTATGGTGGATAGATACATTATTGAAATTATATAAGAAAAAGGTTTTAAAACACTATACCATACCATACTCCTTTATTTAAAAAGTGCTTACGAACAACAACAAGGCCCACCAAAGTTTTGCACAATAAAACAAGCAAGCAGAGGACACAGGATAAAATACATAAATCAACAAAGGTAAAAAAAATAAATAAAACTGAACAACTAGATAAATAAAATAACATAAGGTTAAAATTATCTCACACTGGGTAGAAGGCCAGAGAATATACATGTGTTTTTAAAGGAGACTTAAAAACAGAGAGAGGAAGCCTGCCTGACATGTTGTGGCAAATCAGTCCACAGTTTTGGACCAAACACATTTTACATGGAAGACAAAGTGAAATTCTGTTACATTTAAATCTTATTTTTGGAAGTTGAAACAACAACTCAATCTTTTCGTCTGGTAATTTATCACCTCCTACAATTTAAACAGACTTTAATATTCCCCGCGCTGTGATCAATAAAGCTGTCGCTCACACTGAATTTCCAAGTGCGCTGAAAAGCACTCACCAAAGCTCAGCAGTAACAAATCATTATGCACATAATTATGCACATCTGTTTTTATAAGCACATCAAAGTTTGAGGGAATCTTGAAACGACAAATTCATGCACTTTGCCATCCATTTATTAGTCTTACTACATACAGCCTTGCAGCCTGTGACCGGCTGAAGGGTGTCTCAGCAGGTTACGTTCGATCCATTAGTGCTCTCTTGTTTAACGGGGATGATTTTAAAGACTGAAAGCTGTCTTTGTAAAGTGCAATCACTTTCACTGTTATTAGGCTGCGTGTTTAAACAGCCACCATCGGGAAAAGAGGTGTCAACTGTGACCAACACACACACACACACCACACACACATGCACCCCCCCCACCCACACACACATCTAAACAAAAAATAACTTATAAAAATCTAAATATAACA